CTCCATGCCCCTCCACACAGTGACAGCCAGGCTCAGCGTTTGATCCCTGCGGGCGCCCGTGCTTTTCCCTGGGATCCTGACCCTTCTCACTCCACATCTGGCCAAGCGTTGCCTGGGAACTGCAGCCATCAGCACCGGGTGTCCTGGGGGAGGGAGGAGGGGAGCCCAAGCGCCTGCCCGTGAAGACGAGGGGCCAGGCCGGGGTGGGGCGGGGGGCTTCTGTGCCAGCCCCAGGGCAGAGGGGCCAGGGGCCGCGGCACACGGCCGGGGACCTGCCAAAGAGCTGAGCTCACTTCCGGCAGCAATTTTCCAGGACTGGCGCCTTCAGACAGTGGCCAGCTGGGAGCAGGGCTGGTAGCTGAGCCTGGGCTGGGCATGGGCAGCGGGGCTGAGGCCTGGCAAGCCATGCCCGTGCTCTGTGCCAGGCCAGAGCCCCCCCACCTCTGCACACCCCTCCGTGGGGCTCTCTGCAAAGGGCTGCACAGCCCCCCCGGCTCCCCGTGCCAATGCCTCCTGCACCAAACCAGCTTGAAGCCGCAAGCCCAGAAACAGCTGGGCCTCATGGGTCGAAGTGGGGGCCGGGGGGTGTCGCTGCTGCCAGTTCAATCGCTCGGGCCCCATGGGAGCAGCTCGCACCTCTCCAGGTGGCAGCGGCTGTGGGAGGTGATGAAGGGATGGTGGGCTGGGGGGGTGCAGGCAGGGGGGGAGAGGCTGGAAATCCCCGTGGTCTTGCTCTGAGCTTTGTCTCGCAGCAAATGGTGTGATTCCCCCTCCAGAGCTGCGTCGACTCCAGCCAGTGAGGAAGGCGAGGTCCAGGGCTGGGATGGACACACTTCCCTTCCCATACCATGGATCTGGGGGCAGTGGTGAGATGGGGGGTCCTCTCTGCCAGCCTGGGCTGCTGGGAGACGCCAGCACCGACCCCTGGCTGTGAGCACAGGAGGGTGGCATGGAGGCTGGGGCATGGGAGGAAGGAGCAGGGCAGGCTCCCGTGCACCCCGGGGTCTGGTGGGGGGTCTCTGCTCTCATCCGTCCTGGGGAACAAAGAACTTCCTTCCTTCCTTCCTTCCTCCCTTCCTTCGACGCCACCTCCCAGGTGCTCCCAAGCCAGGTGCTCCATACGGGAGAAGGGTGCTGCCCGGCTGTCCACTTGGAGGGCAGTGCACAGGGGCTCTGCCATCCGCCGCCAGAGCCACTCGCAAACTTGGGCAGGGTGGGCACGGGGGCATGGGCTCGGCAGCCGGGACTTGGCACAAGCTAAACACTGGGAGGTGGATCGGCGGCTCGCAGGGGACACCTAGTGGCGATGGCCCCGCAAAGCCCTCCGCCGGCGGTGGCGGGGCTCCCCACGCCTCCTCCATCCCGCGGCGTGGGCGGCGGGGGGCAGATGCCAAGGGCAGAGGCATCCGGCTTGGGGCCGGCTGTGAGGCCTCAGGCCAGACTCCGGCTGTGGTGCCCGTGTGCAAAGCCCAGCCCAGCAAAGCACGGGACACCCCCAGCTCAGAGCACAGCTCAGAACAGATCGGTGCAGCGGGAGTCGTGAGTGCGGGCTCAGGAGCAGGGGCTGCGGGCGCTCTGATGGCATGCCCAGGAGGCAGCTTTCCTCTCCCAAGTCATGGCAAACCCTCACACATCTCTTGTTCCCATGCGTGCCAGCCGGGGCTTAGTCCAGGGGTCAGAGTGCCTCAGCACTGGAGACAAACTCAAACCCATGCCCACAGCTCCCGGGGTGCACCAGGGGGCATTGCTCTGGGAGGGCTCATCCCCTCCTCTGTTTCCTTTGCAGGGAGCTCAAGTGCAACAGCCGCAGCGGCAAAGCCGAGGGTAAGTACTGTGCCCCCTCCCAGCGGGGTCAGGGAGGTTGGGGCTGGGACATGGGCGCTCAGCTGGCAGGAGGGGGCTTTACTGCCGCGTTGGGGCCGCAGCAGGCGTGGGCAGTGCTGAGCACGGCAGCTGCCACCAATCTGGGAGGTCTGGACCCACATTCACAGTCCATTTAGGGCACAAAGGGAGCAGGGGCCTGGGAGGGGGGGCTGTTATCTCTGTTCCCCCCAGGTCCCTCCAGCCTGCTTGACTGTGCCTCTTGCCCTTTCCAGGTCCCTGCATCGGCTTCCCCGACTCCCATGTCAGCAACTGCTCGGCTAAGCGGCACCCGGGGGAGGAGGAGTTCAGGATGCGCGTGAAGCCCCCGGGCCCGGTGGTCACATCCAGCGCTGCCCGCAGCTCGCCTGACTACGTCCGAGAGCCCAAGTTCTACTCAGCCGGGCACCCGGGCCAGAGGCCGGCCGCCTGCCCAGCGGAGAAAGCCTTGTCCTGCAGCCTGCTAAGCTTCCCCGAGGGCTCGTGCCCGGTGCTGGGCCGGGAGCACCAATCCGGACCGCTGCTCCATGGGGACCCGGCTGACCGGTGCCAGAGCCTCCACGCCAAGGGAGAGGACTTCTCGCCCCCCGGCCTGCTGAGCGACGCCAGGGTGGTGGTGGGGACCGTGGACGAGACTGCCACACACGACCGAGCCCCCAAGACCTTCTCCAATGCCACGCTGGCCTCTGGCCGCTGCAACGTGGACAGCATCGTCTCGCTGCTGAAGAGCAAGTGCGGCAACGGGCGCATCAACCTCCACCCCGTGGTGCAGCTCATCGACATTATGAAGGACATCACCCGGCTGTCCGAGGACCTCAGGAACAGCGGCCTCCACCTGGACTGCGGCAGCCTGCGGCTCAGCGGCCCCGCAGCGCCCGGTGACGAGGTCCGTCTGCCGGCCGGCGACCGGGACCTGCAGTACAGCTTCTTCTCCTCGCCTACCCTGGCCAACAGCATCCGCAGCCCGGAGGAGAGGGTGGCACTGTGGACCGCCAAGGCCGAGGCATCGCTGCCAGGGCGCTCCATGCTGCACGAGATGGAGGGGGGCAGGGGGAGTGCCCACCACAGCAGCTCCCCTGCTGCCTCCAAGCTGCCTGGTGAGCCAGGCGAAGCCGGCAGTCCCCCGCCGGACGCCGGCAATTACTCAGAGCTGGCCGATGCAGATATACTAAATGAACTGGCCTCTTTGGCCTGCCCGGGCACCCAGCTGCTAGAGCCCCAGTCAATGGAGCCCCAGTCCCAGTTGCTGCCGGCCCAGGAGCTGGATTCCCAGTCCCACTTGCTGGACTCCCAGTCTCTGGAATCGCAGCCGCAGCTCATCGATTCCCAGGCTCTGGAGCCCCTGCCAGAGCCCCTGGAGCTGCAGAACCTGGAGCCGTTGCCTGAGCCGCTGGGGCTGCAGTCCCTGGAGCCCTTGTCTGCATCCCTGGAGCTGCAGTCCCTGGAGCCCCTGTCCGAGTCGCTGGAACTCCAGTCCCTGGAGCCCCTCTCGGAGCCGTTAGGACTCTCGTCCCTCGAGGCGCTGCCCGAGTCCCTGGAGCCACAGCTGCTGGACTCCCAGGCACAGCTCCTGGATGCCGAGCCGCCCTTGCTAGGCTCCCCGCCGCCGGCTCTGGGGCCCGTCCCCAAGCTGCTGGATCCCAT